GGTTGTCTTGTTTCTTAAGGCCTTCCTGGGTTCTCACTCATCCCAGATGACCCTATCACAAAGCTAAATCTCGTGTCTCTGGCCTTTCCTCTCTCACTTCATCTCCTTTCTTTTTCTCCCCCAGACACTCCCAGGAGAACATAACCCCCGGTACCTGTCTTAAGAAATAAGGGGGGAATACTTTCAGTAAACATCCACCTACTCCCCCTTTTAAATAGAACTTCCTCTATCTAAAAGTTTCCATAAGAAAATAAATACAAGTGACATTGTGCTGGGGAAAAGCTCATTAGTTCGTTGTCCAACCCTAATAAAGGAACAGGAGTGCAAATTATAGAGTTCAACTTCAACACACGCTCTGTCAACTAAAATCAGCCCAGCGCGAGCTTGATTCAAATTGCTGCTAACTTGCTCCGCTATTCTCCATCCCCCTCCCCAACTCCCAGCTCCCTCCCAGAGAAGGAGGTGGGGTGGAAAAATATGGTTCCAGAGGGGGTAATGATCAAGCCTTTCCTTTCGGAAGCCTGCGCCACCTCATTTCCCATCAGTAATCCCAATAAAATTAACGTGGCTGCAATTGAAAAGAGGAGGGCCGGAGACACTCCTGAAAAAACATATTCTTTCCAGCAAAAGGTAAAAAGCAAAACGGTTCTTTGTTTGGCTAATTAACGAAGGCCAAACTAGGAAAGCAGATGTGTTTGCTTAGCTAATCATAGGAATGTTTCTTTTAAGGAGCTTCATTTCGAGGTGGCCATGGGTGAGGGAGACTGGAAGGGGGTACCAACACCCCCTCTTTGTTGATGGGGTATCTCCACCCCATTAAAAGATCCTGACGGGCTTATCTATCAATCTCCCACTCCCTACTTCTACCCCCAGAGGCCCAGTCTTCAAGCAAGAACCCTCAACCCTTTGCCTGCCCTTCTGTCCTACAAGACACAGAGAAAAAAAATAGTTTTAATGACACAGATGCCATATTAAATGAGGCAGTTTTACAATTCACTTTGAATACGACGCTAACTTATTATAAGTGTGTTATCAGAAGGACGATAAGATTTATAACTCCAAGAGCCAGCTTTTCTCCTTAATGACAATAGAGAAGAAATCTGTTTTCTATTAGACAGCAGAGGATAACCATCCTTGAGCATTCGGGTATTTACAGATGCATCCAGGCGGGAGAATACCATGAACCCCTTTGTGTTTCCATATTAACTAGATTTTCTCTTTCCCCTTTGGCTATAGAATCTAGTCTCCTTGCTGGGTTAGCACCTCTCTCGCTTTTTATCTTGAGCGCGGAAAAAAAAAAGATAGAAGAGAAGGGGGAGGCCCTCTCTCCCTCGGTTTATGCAGCAAAACTATTTCCCTGTCTTTCTTTGCGGTACAAAAGGCTGCTTTCCCCTAAACCAACACATTAAGCAAACTTTAAAAAACTGGGGTCCTATTACAAACCAACGCCCAGGACTAACTGCTTTAAAATTACTGCATAATTAGATTTAGTTGAATTTCACCATTAATTAGGCAGCCGCACTGCGGGGAGCCTTTGAAATCTGAGAAAATGGGAAAAATCATCTGAAGCACGTTTTTTAAACTTAACTTCAATAAATCTTGACAAGGCCTGGAATTCCGAAGTATCTTTCCTCTCTGAAGGCAACCGAAGGAGAGAAGGGTTTGTAGGATAGGGCAATGGGTTCGACGTAGGGGGAAAAATCTAGACTTAGTGGGCAGTCTCACTTTCTGTTGAGGGCATTGGTGTTGGGCTTAATCAAGTCCCTCTGCCTCTTCTCCCTCCCCACCCCACCCCCCAAAAAAAACCCAACCTCAGATGACTTTTTTTAAAGAAGAAATTAAATATTCACAGCAAGACTATGCTTAAAAACAACCCTGTTTAGTGATTGAATGGCAACAATGTATCTATAGGTTGAAAAACTCTACATATTCCTGCATATCTACCCAGATGCCTGCACCCACTGACTGAAAACATAACCTATCCCTACATTCATATCCTGGCAATCATCAGTCCTAGATCAGAAATAAAGCATTTTCTGTAACTTTGACATTCAAGTATTGAGCCCTTCCCACGAAACGGCCGGTATGCAAATCATTACGACCTACAGTACTGGAAAACACCAAATCCAGGGATTTCATTAGTAAGGATGAGAACTGAGGGAGGTCTCTCTAAACTCTCTCTCTCTCTCTCTCTCTCTCTCTCTCTCTCTCTCTCTCTTCTCTCTCTCTCTCTCTCTCTCTCTCTCTGTTTCTCTCTCCCCCTCCTCCCCCCATTTCATATATTCCTTTCTTCTCTCTCCCTCTCCTCCCCCTTTCCTTCTTCCTCTCCTTTTTCTCTTTCCACTGTACTATTCGAAGAGAAAGGTCGTTTTCAGATACAGCCTTTTTAAAGAAATATGGTTCTGAGGGGGAAATAGGCATTATTTCAAGTTGGCGGTATATGGTGAGCATGGGAAGAAGGGGGGTGCTTTGCTACAGTGTTTTTCCTAGGAATTCTGCTGATTTAATTACAGAATAATCGAGGACATGCACTTACTTGCAGGCTAAGAATTTTAAAGACGGTTTTCTGGTTACAGATGGAATGGCCTTTAGCCCCCCCCCCCACGCTAACCAATGTGTTTTCTATTACTAAGCGCTGCCTTTGCTTAGCAGCTCAGCTCTTGCGTTGCATTGGGAGACGCCATGTTGGCTCAGCTAATAGGACCAAGTCAAAAGCAAGCTTAAAGGCATAGTTTCACACGCTCGATCTCTCCCAGAACGTCCCAACCCCCACTCTGGCCCCCCGCCCCTTTACCACTTAACGCGGAGCCGAGGCGTGGAACCTCAACGCAACAAGCACCCCTTACTTTCCCCGGGCCCAGGCGGAATTCCGCTGCACGTAAGTGGGGGGCGGGGATGGAGGAAAGTGGGAGCAGACAGTTTACAAGGACCTTCTGCGAACTCAAGTCCCCCACTTGTGCAGCTGGCTGGAGAGTACAGATCAGTCCTTTCAAGTGAGTCCTGAAACTGGTTTCTAACTTTGAGATCCAGCCCCTTATCCCAGGAAGAAAAACTAATAGGGAACGCTAAGCTGGAAAGGAATCACATCAACCAACCCAGAATTTTTTCTTCCTTTTAAATCTTCCCCCAGGTTTGTTTGAAAGTAGCCAGAAGCTGCGATCTCTCCCTTCCTTGGACTATTGTTGCAGATTGCGTCTGCCTGTGTCCCTCACATCTCGTGCACAGAGAGAGGGGAGGGGGAGTAGGGGGAGAGGAAAGAAATAGAGCGAGCTCAGATCAGATTAAAAAAAAAACCCGCAAGGAAAAAGAGACACTTAAAGGGAAAGAGTCGCCATGTTTAGCAGCTTTTTTTTTTTAAGATCTCGTCAATTTCACATAGAACGCGCTCTTCAGTCCCAGCCCTCCTCTTTTGTCCAATTCAGTCTCTGCAAAGATCTTTTGTTCTAACGCAGCGTGAAAAGAAAAACTTTCTTTAAATGCAATAAACTTAAACCTAACTCAAGTCTCTAAACAAATCCTCCTCTGGGCAATCTAAACATATACAAGGGGTTTTGTTTTAACCATATGAATATTCTCTTCACTGTTACCCTCTCAGAACCCAAGGTTACTACAGAAACTTACAGGAGGTGTAGGCATAGAAGAAATATCATATATGATCTTTATAATGCATGCTTAAAATGTAAGAAAACAGGGAATGTCTTTGCTTTGAAATTCATAAATTATAATTTAATGCCAATGATAATTTACAACAAATGGCTGTTTACAAAAAAAAAACCTAACACAAAACAAACAAGAAAATATACTGTTTTAGTATTATAAAAACTTCACACTCACATGGATACCATTTGCAATAGGGAAAAAAAACCTAGATCTAAAAGGTCAGCAATATCCTTTAATAATAATAATAATAATAATATACTACTACTAATAATAATAAGCAGTGGGTCAGATTAAAACTGCCAGAATTCACAACTCATAAATCATTTTCAGGTACAGATGTATCTACTGGAACTAAAGATCAGTATTTAATAAACTTTAAAATTTTCTTCCTTCTTTCCTTCCTCCCTTTCTTCAACAAAGTATAGTATAGTATGGTTGAGGGGAACCTCACACAAGAACAAAATATCAAGCTTTCACATACACACAAAACATCTCCTCCAAAACCAAAGAAAAAAAAGAAAGAAAAAGAAAAAAAGGCATAAAACCAAAATAGTTACTCCTTCCAACTCAGCTTCCTTTCTTATTATTTCCAAAAAAAAAAAAAGTCTTATAAGGGCAAGAGCTACTCTGAGTGCAGAGACTACAGCTACATAACCAGAAGTGTACAAATGTTTATATGTACTTAGCTGCAATGTAAAATATGCTGATGACCTATGGTCATGCTCTCACAGTCTAATTTTTTAAAGCAAACCCATTGTATGCTATCATATATACATTTTTAAAAGACTCTTCATGCTAGAAGCTAAATCACTCAATTTGAAGTCCTCTCCACAATAAATGAGAACCACAGAACATTTTTATAATCATACACACTTAAAGAAAACTCATTGCAAACAACTGCCCTATATTTACAATGCCGCTATTAGTTTGCTTGAATGATCTTGTGCGTGAATGTCAGAAAAGTACAAAAGATTTTTTTCTGATCATAAAATAGATACTGATCTCAAGATTCCTAATACTTTTCACAACAATACCTTTCCTATGCAGGCACTTAAGTGTGACAAATATAAGGGCCTTCTCTGGAAAATCCATTTTTAATTAAAAGGAGGATTACGTGAATAGGGGTGGTTTACCATATCAGACCAGCACTTCCTAACCCAGAGATAAACCATGAACTTCATCTTTACCCTCCCAACCCCAAATTAAACAGGCAAATACACTACTTTATGTTTGAACAAACTTACTGTGAGAGGTAAACAAATCAAGCACCTAGGGCAAACTCTGAGAAAGGTGAGGTGGACTTTTCTCGGATGCAAAGACAGTGGTGACAGCCAAACGAGTTTCAGATATCAAATAATATTTTAATTTCTGAATACTTTCAATTTTCCTTGGAATATAACACACAAAGACTCGACCAAACAGTTCAGTTATTATAACTTTTACAGTATACAGAAATGTTGCACTTAAAAAAAACCTTCAGTTTTTTTAACACAAACTGTAAACTCTAAGATACTGAATCAATCACGTTACCTATAAGTGCCAACAGCGTTATTTTGTCATGCTGATTTCAATGGTATTTTTTTAAAAAGGGAAAATATCAACAATTATTATAATACAAAGGGTTTGCAAATATACAAACAGATATAGGAGTCTCATAACAATTCAATATCTATGCGGGACCCAATTCAAATTACAAAAGTTCACTTTTTATTCAAAACTTCAGTTTGTGTCTTGGACACATCCCTTGGCCACCAATAAATTCCACAGTTCATTCTTTCTTAAAATATATAAAAAAAAGCTAGGTTTGTTATGGGAAAGGATTTTTTTTTTGGGGGGGAAGAGGATATTTAAGTATTGTGTGTGGTTCCTTTGGGTCTGTAATTAGAGCTCTCAGCTTCAACTAAAATTTGGTCACCACTTATAAGTGCGTTTCCGTCATTAAGTAGCCTTTTAAAGTTTTATGTCTTCCTATGATATTTTCATGGACTCAGTTTTAATTCTTGCAGAACATATATTTTAAGGATACACAGTTTTTAAGAAGCCAAGATTATATCAAAAATTATTATAGAACCACAGAATAAACTGGTTTGGAACCAGAAAAATACAAAAAAGAACAGCTATAGGTACATAGACACAGGACAATTAATAATTTGGAAAAAAAAAAGACTTACTTTCTCCATTCTGCTAATTTTCTCCAAATCTCCTTAAATGCACTTTTAGCGATATTTTAAAAGTTTACCAAAAAAAAAAGAAAGACTAATTTCCTTTTTTTTATACAAAAATGATAAGTAGCAAGTTGTTCTGACCAACACAGGAGTTTTTTTTAATGCATTCTGTAAAAGTTCATTTGACAGTCTTTTTAAATTCACAGTCCATTAAATTCTTCCCTCTCTTCTTTTAGCAAACTTGTAACATCCTTTTATATCCTTTCTTAACAGAAGGAATTTAAGCAAACAAATCAGTCTTTTGCCTTTTCTTTCTCTCTGTTTCATTCCCCTTTTTTTTTTTTATTGAATTGCCATGTAAGGCCAGTTAAAACTGCTGCCAGATAGTAACATATCCCTGATTAGGGTTTCTATGGGGGTTTTACCTACCAAACGGACGAAAAACAATTGCTCTATGACAGAAGAGGAGACAGTGCGAAGGGAAGGAAGGCGAAGCAAGAGCTTTCCAAATCGTGTTGGCTGGTTGGGGTACTGGCTCCTAACATACTCTTCCAAAGCACACTGTGACTTTTCCTGCAGGCTTTCCACATGGGCTACATCAGAGAGACCACAGGCATCTAAAAGAAAGTTTAAAAAAAAAAAGAATACAGTTATCAGATTGAAAGGTTTGAAATGGGTCACATGAAGTGTGTGTGTAGAGTGGTCGAGCATCCTTCAAATTAGATGTTAGACCAAAAAATAACATTACAAAAAAAAAATGAGGGGAGAGAGGAAGAAGATTGAGAAAGAGCATTGGATGGTGGTTTGGGTGGATTTTAAAGTCAAATGAAATTAAGGGTTTCACTGTCCCCAAACCCAGGGTTTTGAGGCTACTAGATCACCACAAAGGGGCACTGAAAAGTGCACTTGGTGAATCTGGGGGTGAAAAGGATTCCAAACACCTTACTGTCCACTAGCTCCCTTGACGCCTTTGCTAGAAAATAATTGTTTAGCTTATAATCATATAGTTAGTTAAGGGCTAGGGAGGGGTGGATTGAGAGGAGGGAGTGAGGGGAGCCGACAACCTGGCCCAGTAAAAAGTAATGGCGCCCAGGACTCAGCAACAGATTCTCCCCCAAAGAAGACAACTCGTTTTTCTCCAGTCTTTGAAACTGATTTAAGTGGCCCTTTAAAACTGATCTTGTCAGTTTAGTCTATTCAGGGGCAGCCATGCAAACTGTGATCTCTCTGTTCATTTGAGCTGTTTCTTTCTCCCCCCTCTTTTCTTCTCTCTCTCTCTCTCTCTCTCTCTCTCTCTCTCTCTCTCTCTCTCTCTCTCAAAAAACCCCCAAACTCATACCCTTACAATAAACACCCCCAACCAATATCAACTGACCACTTTTCCCCTTCTAATAGGAGAAAATACAATAAATTCTCTTTAAATAAGAGGCTTCTTTGCTAAGAGAGCACAGGTTGTGACCTGACCTTTCTCTGGCTTACTAGGCAATGGTAGGACTAACACATGCATATTATGCATCATCAAAATGAGACTTTAAAAAAGAGAGCATGTTTAATATATATATATACACATATAATACTTATATTTATGTAGATACATTACATATATATGGAATACATAAATTCCTGTAATCAAGAATTTTCAAAAATTACTCACACAAGACTTCTTTTTGCATTTGTACTGTGTCTATTCCTGAATAATGTAAGAGAAACCTTTATCTAGTTGGGAAGTAATTTGCATTCTTCACACCAGTCCTTACATTTTTAAATAGTAATAAATTAAACAGTTACAACAATATCAGATATTTTTTCCTAGAAAGACTAAGAGCAAAGCTAAGAACTAAATATCAAATGCAAAAATTAAAGTCACTTCCCTGGTCAAAAATGAGGAGGGAAATGTAGTTAGAATATGGGACGTGTTTGTGTGTGGTGGGATGTTCATTTCTGTATAATTGAGCAGGGAAGGCACCCTAAAATGACAGGCCAATATAAAAAAAAATTCTTAGATGCCAAAGTCTCTATTTAGCTCTTACTGTGCCCCAGTAGAGCTTTTTAATTGATTACTGTAAGACCTTAGAAAGTGAAATGGGGGGTAAGGGGGAGTTATGTGTAAAGCAATAATATATAAAAGGAAGCTTGGGTCAGGACCCAGGTCCTGGAAGAGATCCAACTAATGACTTGGTTCCCTAGACCCCCTTAAACACAACAAGGAAAGGATTGTGAGTCCTTCCCCCCCCCCACATAAACTACATTTCCCTCCCTGTTTCCTGATATCAAACTTAAAAACTATGATGAGTAATTATTTTTCAAGTCCTACTTCAATTCAAATGTTTATTATCCTGAATTAGGGGACTCTTTCTCTTCTCAGCTCTGACAAAAGAATTGGTTGAAAACTTAACAAAATTTCTGGGGGTATATGCAATGCACAGTGCCATTATATACAGCCTAGAGTTAGCATATTTAGCTCAGGTATTGCATAAATTGCAAAGCTCTATAACTCAAAAATAATTTGGCCTCAAGAGTTAATTAATATCAGCTACATTACTCACACAGGTTAAACTACATGCAAACTAATTAGATTTCATAATGCATTCATTATTGTTTTATAACTCATGCACTATTTATATACAACTCAAGTAGGCACATACTTTCCCCTCTGAATTGTCTGAAAATACCTTGCTTGTTTGACAATTTAGGAAAAGAGGCAGATATGTAACTACATAATTACATTTTAAAGCATCATCTAGGCTCTTTCTCTCTTCCAACTAGCACTAAGTCCAATCTGTAACCCTGAACTATTAGCATGTGCATACACACATACACGCACACACACACATACATACATGTTATTCTGAAAACCACTAGACCAGGTTGGATAGGACTACAACAAGAACTCCTGCAGAGTTAACATGCAAACTTTTCTCCTGACATGAAAGGAGATAGGACTGCTGAGGTGCTCATATTTATTTGCCATGGCAAGGCAGGATTGGAAAAGGGGATGCAGTCATTGTCCAGGAGGACTGGAAGCATCTTGAAAGATTCCCTCTGGCCTCTTCAGGCTGGGGGTGGTGGGAAGGGGAAAGAACATGGGGTAAAATAGAATGGGGAGAGGACAGAGAAATGCATTTTATTCCCACTGCTTATTTGATGTAGACACTCTTCCCAGACCAGTGGGAGAGATCCTAGCCTCAAGGGTCAGCCTAACTTGGCCCTCTGCTAGAGCCTGGGTGGCTTGCCTGAAGCACACCATTCTACAATGCCATTGTTCTTCCAATCTTATTTCCCCAGGCTGCCATTACTCTAAGAGTCTACATGCTAAACAAAGTTTCCATGGGATTCTAGTCACAACTTCTCTTCCCCCCACACTCACCCCAAGGGGAGGGGGAAGGGCTAGTGATTGGACTCATGACCCTAACAGGCTCCCTGCCTCACCTCCTCCCATCAATTCCTTCTCCCCTCCCCCATCTCAACACATGGCGAGGAAACATTCAAAGTGTGGCCAACACATTGGGCGCTAGGCTGTGGCTTTTATGTTTATTTGTTTTTCCTTTGATTCCTACCTGAGGTGAAGAGGACTATGGCCTTTAAACAGCTGTATTCTGCTGAGTCAACGTGTAATGCCTTCAGTTTTTCCACTTGCTCCTGGAAGATTCGTATGTGGTCCATAAAGGCGACCACTCGGTCAGCAGACATTGGCGAGGCATGGAGGCCTGCCGCTGCCAGGAGCGGGGCAACGTGGAGGGGGCATGGAGCACTGGGCAGCATTGAGCACAAACAACTCACTCCAGGTCAGCCGGAGCAGGGCCACCTGGTCTGTGATCTGGAGGTCTGGGAAGAAGGGAATATTCCGGGCCCACTCCACTGCGCTGAAGAGCATCCGAGCTGCCAGTTCACAAATGTTCTCAATGCCCATGATGTTGTTGGGTTGCATGCACTGGCTGCCAAAGCGGGACGTTGGGTAGGGCTCAGCTCGGAGAAGCAGGGATATATATCCGGATAGGTAGGAATGGCAGTTGAGTGGGTCTCCATTTGTCAAAGCGAACTGACCATGAGTTGGCTGTGTGGGTGGCATTCTTCCCCTTTGGACGGCTGCAGTGAATAAAGAAGAAACTACAGCAATTAATACCTGAATTGGTTGGGTTATCTCAAAATATTCAAGAGTAAGTTTTTGTTGCGTTTGTTTTGTATTGTATTCTCCACTTCCCAACCCCCACCACTTAAAAAGTCAGATCATAGTACCCTGTTATTTCCAGACAGATTTCTCTGCTTGCAAACACGTGAGAGAGAGAGATCTGGGAATCTGCTTGCTTTCTGACTGATTCAAGTTAAACCAACACAGAGGCTACATAATGTTGCATACTTGCCTAAAATGCTCCTGCTTGGAGCTGCGGTAAGAACCCAGACTGTTCACTTCCTAAACACACTCGGCTGCTTTTGTGTTTTCTCTCTTATGAGAGGAATGTGTCATTCTGAGGGCATTTTTCTTCTTTACAGCTAAACATCTGATATTCCTTATTGATTGGGGGAGGGGAGAGCGGGAGGGGCTGAGGGGGAGGGGGAGACGTTCTTTCAAAATACACAGTGCTCGCCCCAAACGGCCTTTATTGACTTTCGAATAATCCTTCCAAAAAACACACACCCCAACCAGACCACTGCAAGAGAAATGCATTATTGTTTAAAACCACGTCTATCAGCTGATCAGTGAATTGAGGGCTTTTCTTTTGGTTAATAAATTTACACGGAGAGAGGGAGAGAGAGAAAGAGAGGGGGAAGAGAGGGAAACAGAGGGGAGGGAGCGAGCGAGCGAGACACGAGAGAGATTAGAAAGGATCGCCTGAGAGAGGCAGACACGGAGAGGGCGAGAGGGAGCGAGAGAGTGTTGCTAAAATGTTTTTGATTTATATTTGTTATTTAACGTATTACAAGGTTAGTTACTCTTGCAGAAACACAAAGAAAACAAGGCGATCCCTAACCCTTAACCTACATAACAGCGCCCGGGCTCTAAGCACGCCATTGGAAAACTAGAGCTCACATTTCTCGCCTAATTTTATATCACAAAGACCCAACTTGCCCAGAGCGAAAACAGCCACGGATGGCCTTTTTTTCAATCCTACCATGTTCTCTCTCCTTCCAAAAGTGAAAGAAAAAGAAAATAACACAGGTATTTTTAAAAAGCAGAATGTTAATCCACGGAGGATCAAATGAGAGCTGTACACTGTGCTAATACAGTGAAGTGCATAAAATTGTCATTGTAATTTGAACCTCCTGTACAAAAGTACAATCTTAGGTTAGGTTTGTTTTTTTTTAATCTGGGGGAGGGGAAGAGAGGGATATATGTTGAACATGCAGGAAAACAAGCCAACAGGAAAAAAAAGTAAACCAGACTTAAAAAAAAAATCCCAAACAAAACACCCCATCATATCCCTTTCACGGAGTCGAATTAATATTCAGTTCCAATCAATGAAAACAAAATCAAAATAAGGTGGGAGGGGGAAGAGAAATCAGTTGGAATGCTGGAAAAAGCATGCAGTTTTTTTTTCCATCTGAGTTTTTTTTTCTCTCTCTCGGTTTAATTACTTAAAGACCGATTTTTAAAAAATACAAAAGGCAGTGAATTGTAAATTGGAAAACAAATGAAATCCCAATACCTTCCCGTCTCATGCCAACTTTGAGGCATTTTTTGAGGCGGCAGTACTGACACTGATTGCGGTGGTGCTGGTCTATAGGACAGTTCCTGTTGGCACGACAAGTGTAACTCAGGTTCCTCCTTACACTCCTCTTGAAGAAACTCTTGCAACCCTCGCAGGTAAACTGGCCATAATGTTTGCCACTAGATTTGTCCCCACAAACCACACACTCAATGTGTTGCTGTTGCTGCTGCTTGTCCCCGGCTTGGCTCTGCTGGCTGGGCTGGTTGGTCTGGGCTGGAGTGCTGGGGGGGCCCCCTTGGCCCGGAGTTTGCGGGGTGTGAGGGGCCCCGGCTGGTGGTCCTTGTACTGGAGGTGCTTGCGAAGGTTGAGTTCCCTGGTTTCCTGGTACATCGTCTTGGGGGTCTCGCCACGCACCAACTACCATTGCCATATCTATCGGACACCGTTTCCAAACTTCCTGTTCCCCTTTCTTTCTCTCGGGCTCTCTGGTCTTTCTCTCTCTCTCTCTCTTTCTCTCTCTCTCTTTCTTGTGTGTGTGTGTGTGTGTGTGTGTGTGTGTGTATGAGTGTGAGTGTGTGTCTGGGTGTGTGTTTTTTTGGAAAGTTTGTTTGTTGCTTTTCTTGCTTTCAGATCAGCTTTGGCGGTTTTCGGGGGCCTTTAAAAAGGAGGAGGGGAGGGGAGAGGGAAGGGGGAGCGCAAATATCGGCAAAATGTGGAGAGCGAGGGAGGGGAGGGGGAGATGGAAGTCGATTGTCTGGCTTCAAGACAGAAGTAGAAAAAATCTCTTCAAAGATCTCTCTCTCTCTCGCTTGCTTTCTCTCTCTTCCTCTCTCACTCTCTCTCTCTCTCTCTCTCTCTCACTCTCTCACTCTCACTCACTCACTCTCTCTCAAAGCTATTCTGTAGCAGAGGAGTTGGAGGAGGAGAGGCGACTGTCTGGGGGCCAAGTCCAGGGCAGCTCACAGTCAGCCATTCAGGAAAGCCATCAAAATAAGAATGAATAAAAGATTAAAGATTACACACACAGGGGCGAAAAAAGACACAACTACAAGACTTCGCTCGGTGCAGGGAGCCGACGGTCTCGCCGGAGCTTTTTTCAAGTCCAGGGGTATAATCATGAAACTGATCAAATTCTTGCTTTGGCTTCGGCTCCTGCGCGGTGGGTTCGTCCTGCCGCTCGTGGTGCTGCTGCTGCTGCTGCTGCTGCTGCTGCTGCTGCTGCCGTCGCCACCGCCGCCGCTCGTATTGCTGCTTCCCCCTGCTCGCTTGTTGTTGCTGCTGCTGCCGCCGCCGCCGTCTCCGCCGCCGCCGCCTCCGCCGCCGCTGCTGCTGCTGCTGCTCCTCCTCCTCCTTGCTCCTTCTAGCGAGTGGTTCTAGCGCCGCTGGTTCAGACACATAGGGAAAGAGTCAACTCTCCAGCAGCAGCGGGGATAATGATAAAAGAGAGAGAGGAGGGAAGATCACAACCTAGAAGAACATCCTTCATGCGCAAAAAAAAAAAAAGCCACACAACACAGCACAGAGAAGGCAACTCAGGGAGGGAGGGGAAAAAAAAGGGAGGGGGGGAGAGAAAAGAACAGAGAATCAAAGTGATCAAATATGCTAAAAAGGGGGGTTAGGGAGTGAATGCGATTTATAGGCGCCGGGGCTGGCAGAAGTGGTTTCTCTGCGATCAGCTCACTGAGCTCTCTATATAGTGAACTTTGACACGACTGCTGCAACTTAGCACACGTTACCATGGCGACCACTCGCCTTATAAGGCAACAGACTGTGTTTGACTGGTCAAAAGCTCCCGGACCGCCCCTTCCCCCTCATTGGCCAAATGAGCCTTGTGCTGCCTGGTATGGCTGCCAGAGAGAGCTGCCCGGTCCTAAAGGGAGATGAGTCTCTGGCAGTTCGCTTCAGCCTTGCCTCCTACGGCTTGCAACAGAGGGGGGCGGGGGAGAGGACAGGGGGAAAGAAAGGCTATGGGAAGGGGAGGGAAGAGCCCCGGCTAAAGGGATTATTTTTGCACCCCTTCTCCCTTTTTGCACCCTCCCCTTATACCACCAAAGCTCGCATCAGAGATTTTATCAAAGATGAGAGAAACAGCTAAACATACATACGAAATAGTACTAAAAAGCTATTTGTGAAGCATTGAAAATAAGACTTTTCCCCTCAACTTACAGGCGCCACGAAACCAATTTCAGAAAGAACCTGGGGCTCTCACATTTTTGTGTTCAGAGTGTCAAGGAGGAAAAATTACTTGGGATTTTATTTTTAAAGTTCAGGGAATGGGGGGGCAGATGAAGGGAGTTAGATAAGAAGGGAATGAAAGTGACGTTGGCTACACCAGGTGATTGGTCAACCTTGTAATAGATGCCTCTAATCAGTGACTGTATTTGTCGTGGTTTAAAAAATTTATAATATTCAGCTTTCTGTTTTTTTTTCTTTTGGGGGTTGAAGTTTCACAGGTATGTGGAATTAACTTTTAGTTGTTCAAATAAAGTATATATAGGATGCTGATCCCCCCAAAAGTAACTATATTTTATTGTCCTCATAAAGTTAAAATACATTTTCCTGAACTTATTTGCTATCACTTGTTTTAAATAACTGTAAAGCAGAGATGGTAAATTAAAGTAGGCAATAGTCTATTTTGGATGAGGTAAAAGGTCTTTCTGACTGAATGATATGAAGGTTATTTCTAACGCATCCACTTTATCCTCATACCATGCTAACGTATGTATACATACATGTACATTCATGTCTGAAATATCCATGTAACTTATATACATCTTTCAATATAAAAAGACAGACTTCAGAGAATATGCTTCTAGATTATAGAAGAGTTGACTAAAGCGTCATTGTTTCTTGATTTCTCCCTAGCCTTCAAATAACCATTAAAACCCTCAAATAAGGGATCCTACACAGAATTAGAAATAGTATCAGCACACATATCTTTATGGGCACACACACAAGCAAAATTAAGAAAAAGAGGATTTATATAAGTAAAAGCAATTTAATTCAAGCATATACTATGACCTTCAGTTCTGTTGTGCAAAAATAATTCAAGATAGTTGTTTCAGTATGCCAGGGTGAGCGGTTTTTAAAAAAGGATAAAATATATATCTTACAAGATTTCCCCAGAACGCAATATACTTCAATTTATTAACTTTTCTGTTTGCTTTCAACTAGGCAGTCAGTGGTTCATGATTATTACATATTTATAGATTAAGATTATGACTCAAGAACACAGATTCTTTACTACGAGAAACACTAAACAGGTAAGCTAACCAAGTACATACATTTTAAAATGTGAAGAGTTAAAAATATGGAGCACCGAGAGAGATGAATACATCACCTAAATAAATTCATTAATAAGTAAAAGAAGCATTTTTTCAATATAGGCAGACGCAGGGATTGGAGATGTCTAGGCTAGCCTTTCTACCACCACCATCCTATCCACCCCCTATTCTTCCAATACTCACAAACCTGGATCTATGTGCACTTTGCATTAAATACCTTATTCAAATACATGCTGACAGAATAACAGGAAGGTTAAAAGTAGACCTATATAAAGATAGGTCTAGATGTTGAAAATCCTCTCCCCCTCTCCTGTATGTATCTCGAGTCTTCCAACCTTTACACTCTTGGCGCTATCACATATTTGACTAAAGCCCCAGTTGCTTAGATTATTTGAAAGTTGAAAAAAAAACCCTTCATAGTGGACACTAAGCTATCATAAACCTAGTAGGTAATGAGATTGCCCATACTGAGAGGTGCGGACCGTCACAGCCAAAGCCAAACTGGGAAATTCCAATTGATTAGAGCAACAATATAACTTTCACTTAAAAAAATGACACGGTAGGTGGAAAAGAAACAAAATTAGGAGAATAAGGAAACTTTTTTTTTAATCTTTATAATTTCAAGAGTCACCTATGGTATCTACAGATTTTGAAATATTAGGGAGGGAGCATTTGCCTATTATTTCTAATGCGGACTTGTAATAGAGCTGTGGTTTATATAGGAAAAGATGAAGGGGATTCCCATTTCAACTCAATAAAGGATCAAAATAATTGATTACAGGGAGACCTTAATTCTTTCCTTTCCACAACAGATATCTTCACAGCGCGATGAGCCTTTAAAAACATGCACAAGAATAACAGGTTGAATGGTAGATCGCTTTTTAAATCCATTTAGAAATTTTTGAAAACTGAAGTATATAGTCTGCTTCAGGCTTAAAATAAAGAACCATCCATCCAGCTCACTTATTAACTACTTGCTCATCAGAGGATACAGGTTACATAAATTTCACGAACAAATACTGTTTTAATATTTATTTTTAATAAACAGTGTTCTGAGTTTCTTTAGTACATAGAAGAATATGTTTGTGAACTGTAGCTAATTTTACTGAATAAAAAAAAAGATGACAGTAAGCAAGTCAAGAAAGAGGGGGGTGGATTTTGAAACGTCTTCATTTGAGGTACATCAACTGAGAAAAGACATCTCCAAAAACTAAATTTTTCATACGATTGTTATTATTGTTGTTTTCAAACCTCTCCTTACTCTCTTTATTGCAGATGTAAATTTATTTTAATGAGAATGGTAACCTTTCATTTAAAAAAAAGTTGGAATAAATCTGTGTAATTCTAAAAAAGGGAATGGATTTTCCTGGTTGAAAGTCGCCTAACAGTGCTGTAATTCTTTGCAGATTAAATCGCAATATGAAGACAACATCGAACAAATACCGAGTTTCACTCTGAACTCAGTGGAAACCAGTTACGTCTAACAGAATTCATTGAATTCCTCTTCTCCCTGAATATAGGATGTGTGTGTTTTTCTCTTCCACCACACTGAAGCACCATGAATAGGGAAAGTGGCTCCTATTGTGTCCCTCTGAACTTCCAAGTCAATGCAATTTTTAACCACTGGCTTGTGGTACTTTGAAAATCACCAGGGGCTGTCAGAGTTGGGTCCTCTGAAAAATTTACAGTGCTAAATCAGAGCATATGCTGTGAGGGAAAAAAATTGCTTAAGATTGGAGCAAGTACAGTATCTGTCTGCCCCCTAGTGTAAGGCTCTTATCTGCCTAAAATTCAACTTTAAAAGAAAAGGAGCTCTTAAAGGGAAACGACTTTTGGCTCATGTATGCATACGAGAATGAAACTTCTGTAGGTTTTAATCTGATTAATTCTTAAGGATTTAAAATTAATTGGCCTGGGCATTGCTGAACTGGACCATACGATTTTAACCTCGGCGTTCACCACGCCAATGCTGAATAGGAATTTTTTTTTTGGATTGGGTTTGTATGACTCCCACTCCCACCCCCCTTCTTCTCTCTCTCCTCTCTCTCTCTCTCTCTCTCTCTCTCTCTCTCTCTCTCTCTCTCTCTCTCTCTCTCTCTCTCTCTCTCTCTCTCTCTCTCTCTCTCTCTCTCTCTCCTTCTCTTCCTCTCTCCCTCTCTCTTTTTAAAATGAGGAACCGTTCCTTGAATGTTTTGTCAGAGCAGAACATTGCTTCTTAAGTCAGATCCGCGCGGTTGCAATAAAGAGCAAAAAGATAAATATTTGCTTTAAAGCTGCAAGCAAACTTCACCACACCTCCCGATGGTGAGTACCCTTCTTCTTGCAATTGTACTACTAGCTTGAACAGAAAGCTTTCCTTTCGAGCTGTCGTTGCGGATAACACCCAGACAGGCTTGACTTTTTCTAGTATTGCTGTCAGTTGCACAAGGTTGCAAAATTAAATGCAGTTTAAAATGTAACAGTAAATTTTGATACTTAGTTCAAGCCTGGTACGTCGTTTGCTATATAAAACGAGTAGTCTGATGCCTGGAAATACAAGCTTTAGTGGACTGGTTCTTATTTTTGCATTATTGTAGGAAATGAGTTTATACAGCATAGTACTTACTATTAAGACTCAATCATATTTTGGCAGCTTTGCAGTTTTGTCCCCCACACCCATCCCACCCCACCTCAGGACACAAGTAATAAAATACAGCAACGCAATGCATTGGATTTACTTCCCTTCTCCTTCCCCAACCTCCTCAAACCCATGAATAGCGATATCACATATGTTTGCAAACAGGTTTTTAAAAAAGCACGAAGTAATATAAAATCACACACAGTACAATAAGAAAGTAAAAAAAAAGAAGAAAAAACTATAAGTAGACATACCAAAACCATATTTGCCTTGTTCAAGGTCCCAAACCGCTTGCATCTTCCTTCTAAACTGGAATAACTCTCCTTTAGTTTGGCAGGTGAAATAAACGCTTTGTTTGCCCCCTGAAAAGACGTGTCTTTGGTAATTAAAGAGAATCTCCTTCTTGGTATTTATCTAAGCGATTGTGCAAACTGATAAAAAGTAGGCTATAGCCTTCAGGGAAAAAGAGGAAAGGTGAAAGAAAAGATCTTCAACCTCAGGGAAGTGCTTTCCATGTATTATTAGCTTTCAGCCTTGGAAAATACTGAACACTAACTTTACACCGACAAGGTTTCAGGGAGCTTTGTACATAGCTGCTGAGGAATGCACGCCTCGCCTTTAAGAAAAATCCCCCAAACCTAAGGTAGGAGATGCCTTGAGTGATCCTTGTCTCTCATCTCATTCCTTAGAAGGAAGAGTACGTTGCTACACCTTGTTTGGGGCTGGAAAGACGAGACTTTAAAAACACCCGTCCAATTGAAAAAATCTCCCAACTTAATGAGTTTAGTCGTAGGATGTATGAAATGATTTCGAGCCTCAGCAGAAAACCGCAAACAACTATAGGCGATATTGCAAAGAAAGATGAACACAGGCACAGCAAAATTACACTGTTTGGGGTCGGGAGGGATGTAGCCTAATCCTAAAGCAAGTTGGAAAAAAAAAACTGAGCTGGGGGGGAAAACACATCACAGCAGAGTGGCAGATCCCCCTCTCCCTCGATCAAAGATAGAACTTTAAATGGGGGTCAACATTTTTCAGAGGAATCCGTTTGAACATTCATTTCTGCTCTTAACTCAAGCCCCCAAAGAGATTCCCTCCCCCCCTTTTGGATAATTTTTCTCCCTGCCTCCATTTTGTAACTTCACAAAATAGGAAATATTTAATTTTTGATGATTCATTTGAGAGATATAGGATGTCCATTCCATGACCATAACATGAATACCCCATAATCATATCACCCCTCCCCCAAAAAACCCTGATGTAGAACCACTAATACAGTGGATCAAGAAAATTCAGACTAAATTATATTGCATTTGGCAGTCTAATACAGTTTTAACTAATGGATTTTTTTTTGTTTTGTTTTAAGAGAAGAATAATGGTGAAACATGGATCTTTTATTTTAGGAAACTGTTATGGTAAGATGTATGTCAGACTTGACAAATGGAACAAACGTTCCTCCACTGTTTCTTGTCCTTGTCTTAAACAGGAATTAAGTTAAACACAGTGCTGAATGTTAATTACATGTTTACTGGCTAATGAAAATTACAAATGGTTTTGCCACCTCAAACAATGATGAAAACTATGAAGACACTGTAATTATATACTTTGAGGAAAATAACTCAGAATATTGATCATAAGAAGTGTAAATCTTTTTTTAAACTATTCATTAATACCATAAATATGGTCTACAAAAGTTTTCTTTGTGGTTTGCATAATCAGTATACGAAACGGATGGGTGGGAGAAAATGTTTCTGAAAAAGGTGGTGAACTATTTCCAATGGAGTACACTTCTGTAATTCCAGGGTCTTCCCACTCCCTCTCCCATTCTTACCCCTCCACCCTCCCAGCCACACCTCTGCCCCTCCCCCTTTACCCCTAGGAGGTCCGGGGAGAATTATGAAGGTGTGATGACAAGCATTGAGGTTACAGTTCAGGTCGAAATGATGTCATTCCCTGCTTTCTCCTGCTCCCCCTCCTTCCCCCAACCATCTCCATAAGGCTCCTGCCCTGAAGCTGAGCATCGCTTTTTTATCCAGGTCGATTAAGTCGGTCATTCTCTGGTGATAACCTGGGTTTAGTTGGGCCAGTCTTACAAGGGAACTCACTGAGGCACAGCGAAGGAAACTTGGGGAGCTTTAGATCTCCTTCAAAGGTGGAGTTAGTAATTCATTTCAAAAGGGAAAGGAAAAATAAAGGTAAAGTGGCAAATCTCCCAAGAGCCAGCTAAATTCCCTCCGTTTTTTTTTTTTTGTTCTTTAAACTTTGGCCCATCTTGTAGTGATAGCTGCCATTCTGATCCCCGGGGTCAAAGGTGAGGACTACCCTAACTCTAAAAGCCTGCGAATGACTAAGTTGGAAACCTGGGCTACAATCTTAATAACCATAATGACCCAGTGATTAAGAAGGGAAGGCTTGTGAAATATGGAAGGGGGAGGGGAGAGGTTGGAGGGTAGTGGTCACAAAACACAATGTGGTTTTTTTTTTTAATAAGAGCAATATTAAGGATTTTTAAAAAGTGCTCTATGGTTGTGGGACTGAATTCTTCTTTTTCCTGAGAATTCCCAAGGCGCTGGTCTTTGTCTTAGAAGAAATGGAGTTTCTGAATGGTGTGAAAGGGACAGAGAGGGTCGCTTCAAATCGATTTTACTTGTCCTTTCTGTCTTTTCGGATCAACGCCCTTCAATGGACACAGAGGTGCTCTTTCAACCAAAAACTTGTGCGACATTTTCTGCCTGTATTGGTACTAAATACAATAAACGCTGGGCAGATTTTTTTTTCTCCAAAGCAAGAAAGCACTCTAATTAAATTGTTTTATATGGACAGTCAAGACAGACCAATTAAGTATGCATTAGTATAAAGATATATTCTTGAGATAAGGGCACTTTAGAAAACATTTCTAGAACAAAAGGTGGGATTGTAGAAGGGGTAAGTCTTATCCCTTGGAGACTCTCACACCTTTCCCCTTCCCCTTAAGTTTCCTTTCATTTATCTATATATCTATCTATCTATCTATCTATCTATCTATCTATCTATCTATCTATCTATCTATCTATTTATTTTTCAGACCTGCAGAGGGTGAATGAAAGTGATGTACAGAGGCTAAGCCTGTTGTCCTGCCAGCTAACAGGTGGAGATGATGGTGGGGTTGTTTCTGCCTCTCAGGTCTTGTCCCCCCCCCCTTCTGTACTGTATGCCTAGACTCTGAGATACATAGACAGTGATTCATTTCCTTCAAGAATCACAGCTCAGACCCTTTACTGGTCATGGTTGGAGTGTCCCTGAAGAGTGCTGGAGAGGTTATAGTCCTGTGCAGTATTTTCGATGAGGCTAAGCATCTGGGGTGGGGAGAGCAACTAGACCATTAGTCCAACAGTGACTTCCTTGGCAAGAGGATCTTTTTTTTTTTTGGGGGGGAAGAGGTTGGGGGACATGAAGTAGATGAGGTGAGGACAGGAGAGAAATGGGGGGATAATGTAGCCTTTTTATCATCCACCACACTATAGCCTTCTTTTGCCATTACTTAGAAAAAAGTGTTGATGGATGGAACACCTTGGAGCGAACCTTAGCTTCTCTGCTGAGAGTGGAGATGATCCCTGAGTTAGAAATTAAAACACCTACCCTTTCTAGTCTGTCAGTTGATTCAGGAGATGTTTACTGGGGATAGGGGTGGGTGAGACAGAAAGGTTAGTGGTAGAAGTAGGGGTATGGAAGAGTAGTTATTCAAAGCTGAAGCAGCCCTGGACTGGATTCTTGGACCTCTGGGTCTCTCATCTCCTCTTCCTCTCTCCTCCCTCCTTTCTTAATTCCCAACAGAAGAATTAGATAAAAAGTAGGGAAGGTAGGGGGAGGGGGGGTCTTGCAAAAAGGAAATGAATGATTTTGAAAGGTGGTTCAAGATATCCATTTTATACCAAGGCTTTGAAAGTGTTAGAAGATCAGAGAGGAAGAAAAGGGAAAAAGGCAGCAGGGAGTAGAGCTCGAGCCCTCCCTTCTCATGGAATAATTCAGCCCTTGCATAGGTGGCTTAATGTCAAAAGTAAAAAGGTTTAAAAGACATTTTAAAAAGCAAGTTCTTCCCTTTGCTGGTTCCATTCGAACATAAATCAGAGCCCAGAAGAAGAAGAGAACTCATCTAAACAGAGCTCAGCAAGTCTCCTCCTGGACAATGAGAACCTCCTGTTGGGCTGGGTATTGATCAGGAGAGGAGCTGAAGATGTCACCACACTAAATATTTACTGATCACACACAAATAGCCGGGACTTGAACGATTTTCTCCTGTGAGGAGAGCGCAGAGAGAAGGGTAAATCATTTTATTAGTGTGTATAAAGCAAAGAGCACACTCTGGGTTGGAGTGTTTTAAGATGTGTCTTCAACGGGATGAAAAGAGTTAGAAAATCGATATGAAGTGATTAGAAGCCCCCATAGTGACAAAGGGGCAGGGAATTTCATGGATTTGGCTACATCAGGAGGGGGGAAAATCAAGAAAGGAGAGGGAGAAACTCTTTCACCACCTCCCCGCCCCCCGAAAAATATTATAAGCTTTCTTCTCCCTCCACCGGACAGCTAAAGAGGGCTAAGAAGACGCTGGAAAAGAGAATCCTAAAATCTGTAGCCAAGTAACAATTAGTTGTGGACGCAGGGATGTAAAGGCATCAGAAAGGCAGAAAGCAACTAGGATAGGGAGAGAGGTCTCATAAAAGCCAAGGTTTACTATAGAGTCTGGAAACAGTATGATGCGAGGTGGAGGTGTAAAACGACAACAAAGCCTTGGAATAAATGCCTGGGAAGTTTTGAAAGAAACTTGCAAATAACTCGACATTGACACGAACCACAGAAACTAAAGGAAATGATCCCAGTTATACCTTTTTTTGTTTGTTTGAAATAAGCAATCGAGAAGTCATTCTGTCCCCACCCCATCCTACAAAACAAATAAGTCTCACAAAACAAGTATACCATTTTCCCCACCCCCAATTTCAACTAAAAGGGCACAGTAATTCCAATCCACTGCAACCAGCATGCCCAAATCTTTGGCATCTTTCTTATTGATAAAGTCCTCCCTTTCGACTTCCCTTTCTTTCCTAGGCGCCCCCCCCCTTCCATTTCCAATGACAGCTCAGTCAATATTTCTTAATATGAACAAACGCCCCTGCCCCGCTGTAACTCTGTCCCTTCGTGAATCTTCAAAAGCAGTAGCAGACTGAGAGCGAGGGAACTCCTCTGGGTGGGATCAAAGCAGAATACCCACTCGGCTTTCAGGTATTGGGAGGGATGGAGGGGAAATCGCTTAAGTCAAGGACTAGCTCCCTGAGTCTAGATAGCGACATGGCAGCAGGCAGCGAAGCCCGGGCCAGTTCACAGGGCAGGAAATCAGGTTTGGGTAATTAACCTAAATCCTAGTGATGAAAACCCTTTTCTTGCCACAAGGCTGAGATGCAGAGGGGGCAAATTGATGTAGGCGCAGCAACTTTTAAGGAAAGGACTCGCTCTCTGAACTTAGCAAAGCTTCCTGAGTGTTTTTCTGGTAAGGAGAGAAAACCCTTATCCGAAAAAGAAAGCAGCAGGACTGATGTGAAAATGGCTTTTCACTTCTCTAAGTGCTAGTGTGGCTACTGTAAACAAACCTTGAAGTTAGAAACAGCTGCA